GGTGACGGCGGCAATGTTGTCGGCGGTGGAAACACGAGGGTTCGCGGAGTGATTCGGGCCGCTGACGTCGGCGTTGGCGGAGTGCAAGTGCAAGTGCTGCGATCGTTTATGACTAGAGGCAGCTCGAACGGCAACGTTGATGGTCGACGTCGGCGTTGGCGGAGTGCAAGTGTAAGTGCTGCGATCGTTTATGACTAGAGGCAGCTCGAACGGCAACGTTGATGGTCGACGTCAATCTCCTCAGCGGAGTGGAGTCAGGCCGATTTCGGCGACTCATGCGTCGGCTGGTCGAGACGGAGGCATCGCGCCGGCGTATGGCTATTTTAAAATTTCGCCGGACAAGATCGTTGTGCCGAAGCCGCTCGAAGGTCGGCACGACTTGATCACATGAGATCGAATCCATCGAGCCTCAGCTGGAGATCGCCGGATTGAAGAAGTTCGTTGACGGAAATGTTTTGGCGCCGGACGAGGAGGATGTCGAGCTCTGGTCGGAATTTCGCGCTGCTCACCTTCTGATCTCTATGGCCATTTCGAGGTGTTGCTCGCCTCTGGTACAAGTCGCATTGAAGTCGTGCAGACATCGAGTGGATGCTGGCTACCAAGCATGGCAGTACATCATGCGCACCTACAAAGCGACAGATGACCTCTACAACAGCCAATTGGAGAATAAATTGACCAGCATTTGTATGGGGGAGCAGGAAACGGCGACCGAGTACTGCAATCGAGCGCGACGAGTTTTTGGCCGATCTGCGGATGGCCGGCGTCGACTACTCGGTGCCGTTGTATGTCACCCATTTCATCAGTGGCCTCCCCTCGGGCTACAATCTAATGCGCCGGATGCTGGCAGTTCCCGGCACGCACGAGACTCTGAACGATGAATCGCTTTCGAGCCACATCATCCAGGACGAGTTCATGCAAGAGTCAGAGCGACCCGCAGAACTGCTTCCGCATGCCCATTACGTTGCCCCGGCGAGGCAGAGACGCCAACCTCCACAGCGTGGAAAGTTAGGTGGAGGCAGTGGTGGGAAGTCGTCGAACGCGAAATCGACGGAGGGCGCCGACCGCGGAAAGTCGGCGAAGGGAGGAGATCGCAACGGCGGTGGCTCGCGTCGAGAAGGACGTCGGTGCTACATCTGCGATGCTCGCGACCACCTCTCGTACGACTGCCCCGACAGAGACGAGTCTGACAACGACCTTGACGCCAACCGCAGAAAGTCAGATGGTGGCCGTCGTCGTTGAGACAACCAGCCGCGCGCAGAGAAGCAGGAGTCGAAAACTTCTTTGGCAAAAGACACCGACACTTCCAGCAGCAATGCACGTGGCAAGAAGGAGGCTTCGTGCTCGATGGTTGGCATGGTGGAGCCGACGATCTCGTTGGCGCTTGAGGCTGGCGAGGACTTCAAGGCGGTCGCTGCTGCTGTGGAGGCGAATCCGACGATCGTGCTCCTCGACAGCGGCTGTTCCCACCATCTGATGGGGATCCGGGAGGCCTTCGTCAACATGCAGCTGAGCGGCGACGTGCACCACGTCTGCGGCTTCAACGGGGCACTTCAGAGCGTCGAAGGCAGAGGCACCGTTGCTCTGCAAGGGGAGGCCGGGAAGCAGGTCCTCGTCCCCAATGTACTCTACGTTCCGGGTGTGCTGGTGAACCTGCTGTCTGCTCAAGGAGAACGGCATGAAGCTACAGGACGACGGCGGAGAGATGCTGCTGGTGTCTTCTGACGGCGATGTCCTTGGTCGAGCAAGCTACTCCGGCAGAGTTCTCTGCATCGACCTGCGCCCCTGCTCGACGAAGTCGACGGCGACTTCGATAGAGGTTGTGGCTCTGCGAACGATCGCGTCGTTGAGGACAAGGGAATCCTCCACAATCATGAGGTTGCCGCTGGTCTGGACATCAAGAAGCCGACCGCAGATGATCTGTCGTGTGCCTCCTGCGTCGGCGGTAAGCTTGCACGGCACACCTTCCCCGACCAAGGATCGAACGCTGAGAACGCGCTCGACGTGGTGCATATCGACCTTTGCGGGCCGTTTCAGGTGGCTGCCAACGATGGCAGCCTCTACTTCCTGCTTTTGAAGGACAGGAAGACGCGCTACGTGTGGGTGAGGCCAATCGCGAAGAAGAGCGACGTGCTGGTCGTCTTCGACAAATGGTTGAAGGTTGTGGAGCGGCAAACTTCGAAGACGGTGAAGATGCTGCGTTCTGACCGCGTAGGGGAGTTTCTCGGTCGGGCCTTCACCGACATCGTTGAGGACAAGGGAATCCTCCACAATCTGACGTGCCCCTACACTCCATAGCAGAACGCGATGGTAGAGCGGGAGATGCGCACGGTGGTCGAGGCCGTGCGAACGATGCTTCTGCACATGGGCGTGAAGCATCACTGGTGGCACCTCGCTCTTCGACAGGCTGTCTGCACTTCGGAGCCCAGATTTCAAGTTTACACTTCGCCCTACACCCGTGACCGTTAAGGGCAAAAAATTGGTCACCTCCCTGAAAATAAGGGCTAGAATTTCAGCCGCGGAGGGCCTTAAAACCGGGGTACACATTCAGAATGGGGAACAATAAATTTGGGGGTTTAGGCAAAATTTGGCAGTAATTTGGGATCAAGGGATAACCCCTGATGCCCACCCAGGTGAATGTGCACCCCGGTTTTAAGTTCTGGCCCCAGAGATATCGACATCCCTGCTGTCAACAAGAATAGGCTTGTTTCTTGGTTCTTGTTCTTGGTTCTCGTTCTTGGTTCTTGTTCTTGGTTCTCGTTCTTGGTTCTTGTTTCTTGGTTCTTGATCTTGGTTCTTGTTCTTGGTTCTCGTTCTTGGTTCTTGTTTCTTGGTTCTTGTTCTTGGTTCTCGTTCTTGGTTCTTGTTTCTTGGTTCTTGTTCTTGGTTCTCGTTCTTGGTTCTTGTTTCTTGGTTCTTGTTCTTGGTTCTCGTTCTTGGTTCTTGTTTCTTGGTTCTTGTTCTTGGTTCTTGTCCTTAGTTCCTCTCGACACGCACCCCACCCCAATTTCTCCTCCAACCCAACCTATCCTGCCGTCCCAACTCCCTACCTAGCTACCCTCCTAACACCCCGATGTTGCTAGTACCTCCCACCCAGCCGTCGCCTCTCCCTCCTCCCGCCGTTGCTTCTCACTCCTCCCCGCCGTCGCCTCTCCCTCCTCGCCATCGCCTCTCACTCCTCCCCGCCGTCGCCTCTCGCTCCTCCCTGCCGTCGCCTCTTCCTCCTCCCCCGCCGTCGCCTCTCCCTCCTCCCCGCCGTCGCCTCTCCCTCCTCCCCACCGTCGCCTCTCGCTCCTCCCCGCCGTCGCCTCTCCCTCCTCCCCGCCGTCGCCTCTCCCTCCTCCCCGCCGTCGCCTCTCCCTCCTCCCCGCCGTCGCCTCTTTCTCCTCCTCGCCATTGCCTCTCCGTCCTCCTCGCCGTCGCCTCTCCCTCCTCCCCCCGTTGTCTCTCACTCCTCCCCGCCTTCGCCTCTCCCTCCTCCCCGCCGTCGCCTCTCCCTCCTTCTCGCCGTCGCCTCTCCCTCCTCCCCGCCGTCGCCTCTCCCTCCTCCCCGCCGTCACCTCTTCCTCCTCCCCGCCGTCGCCTCTTGCTCCTCCACGCCGTCGCCTCTCGCTCCTCCCCACCGTCGCCTCTCCCTCCTCCCCGCCATCGCTTCTCGCTCCTCCCCGCCGTCGCCTCTCCCTCCTCCCCGCCGTCGCCTCTTGCTCCTCCCCGCCGTCGCCTCTCCCTCCTCCCCGCCGTCACCTCTTTCTCCTCCCCGCCATCACCTCTCCCTCCTCCTCGCCGTCGCCTCTCCCTCCTCCCCGCCGTCGCCTCTCCCTCCTCCCCGCCGTCGCCTCTCCCTCCTCCCCCGGCGTCGCCTCTCCCTCCTCCCCGCCGTCGCCTCTCCCTCCTCCCCACCGTCGCCTCTCCCTCCTCCCCACCGTCGCCTCTCGCTCCTCCCCGCCGTCGCCTCTCCCTCCTCCCCGCCGTCGCCTCTCCCTCCTCCCCGCCGTCGCCTCTCCCTCCTCCCCGCCGTCGCCTCTTTCTCCTCCCCGCCGTCGCCTCTCCCTCCTCCCCGCCGTCGCCTCTCCCTCCTCCCCGCCGTCGCCTCTCCCTCCTCCCCGCCGTCGCCTCTCCCTCCTCCCTGCTGTCGCCTCTTCCTCCTCCCTGCTGTCGCCTCTTCCTCCTCCCTGCTGTCGCCTCTACCTCCTCCCCACCGTCGCCTCCGGCGACAGGTGCCCGGAGCGCAAGCGCGGGTTGGTGCGCGAGCCCGGGTTGGTGAGCGCGGGTTGTTTCCTGAGGCGCCGTGGGTATCAGGTTCGTTCCCTGTCCTTTCATCCTCCTCCCGCCCTCTGAAATTTCCTTTTCTTTTACTCTCTTGGTATATATATATATATGTAAATATGTATGTATATATGTATATATGTATAAATATTTTTTCAATTGGTCTTCTCTTGCATTGCACATTCATTTGAAGAAGAGGAGAGACGGAGTGCGAGGGAGAGCGTGTGCAGGGGAGCGAACGCGAAGGAGAGAGCGCAGGAGAGAGCGCTTGAGAGAGCGCGTATGAGAGCGCGAGAGAGAAAGCGCGAGAGAGCGTGTGAGAGAGCACATGCGAGAGCGTGTGAGAGAGCGCGCGTGAGAGAGCGCGTGAGTGTGCACATGAGAGAGCGCGTGAGAGAGCGCGTGAGAGAGGGCGCGAGGAAGCGCGTGAGGGTGCGCGTGAGGGTGACCGTGTGCGTGAGAGAGCGCGTGAGGGAGCGCGTGAGGGTGCGTATGTGAGAGCGCATGAGAGAGCGCGTGAGTGCGCGTGAGAGTGCGCGTGAGAGAGAGAGTGATAGAGAGAGCGCGTGAGAGAGCCCGTGTGAGCGGGCATAAGAGAGCGCGTGAGAGAGTGCATGAGGGAGCGCATGAGGGTGCGCATGAGAGAGCGCGCGAGAGAGCACGTGAGAGAGCGCGTGAGGGTGCGTATGAGAGAGTGCATAAGTGCGCGTGAGAGTGTGCGTGAGAGAGCACGTAAGTTAGCGTGTGAGAGAGAGAATGGGCGTGAGAGTGCGCGAGAGAGAGAGAGAGAGCGAGAGAGAGCGCGTGAGAGAGCCCGTGAGAGAGAGCCCGTGTGAGCGGGCGTGAGAGAGCGAGTGAGAGAGCGCGTGAGGGTGCGCGTGAGGGTGCACGCGAGAGAGCGCATGAGAGAGCGTGTGAGAGAGCGCATGAGAGGCGTGAGGGAGTGCGTGAGGGAGTGCGTGAGAGAGTGCGTGAGGGAGCGCGTGAGGGGGCGTATGAGAGAGTGCGTGAGAGGGTGCTTGAGGGAGCGTGAGAGTGCACGTGAGAGTGTGCATGAGAGTGCCATGAGAGTGCGCGTGGGAGTGCGTGTGCGAGTGCGCGTGAGAGAGCGCGTGAGAGAGCGCGTGAGAGGGAGATGCGAGAGAGAGCACGTGAGAGAGCGCGCAAGAGAGAGCACGTGAGAGTGCGCGTAAGAGTGCGCGCAAGAGAGTGTGCGAGAGAGCGCGCGAGAGTGCGTGTGAGAGAGCGCTTGAGAGTGCGTGGGAGAGTGCACGTGAGAGAGTGTGGGAGTGCATGTGAGAGAGCGCATGAGAGTGCGCATACAAGTGCGTGAGAGTGCGCGTGAGAGTGCGCGTGAGAGTGCGTGAGTGAGCACGAGAGAGGCGCGAGAGAGAGCGTGTGAGAGAGCAAGTAAGAGAGAGCATGTGAGAGTGCGCGTGAGAGTGCGCGTGAGAGAGCGCGTGAGAGTGCGCGTGAGAGTGCCTGTGAGAGCGCCTGTGAGAGCGCCCGCGAGAGGGCGCGCGAGAATGTGTGCGAGAGTGCGTGCGAGAGCGCCCGTGAGAGTGTGCGTGAGAGTGCGCGTGAGAGTGCGCGTGAGAGTGCGCGTGAGAGAGTGCGTGAGAGAGCGCGTGAGAGTGCGCGTGAGAGCGTCCGTGAGAGCGTTCGTGAGAGTGCCTGTGAGAGCGCATGAGAGAGCGCATGAGCATGTTGGGGCGTAGGCACTAGCATCTATTCTGCTGGTGCATGGGCAAATGGGGCTACTTGTGCAAATGAGTGTCGCTTTCTGCACTAGCGCTTCTAAGGTGTTGGCGCCTTGATCGCTCGTCTAGGCCGCTGGCAACTAGCGAGCTAGTGCCTAGCACGCTCGTGCAGCGGGCTCTAACGCTTGGGCGCTGGCATGGCACCTTTTTTTTTTTTTTGTTTTTTTGATATCATATACATTACAAGAATGTACAGACATCGGCAGTCGTAACTGACATAGGGAGGGGAGCGCCACAATAGCTAGTATCGCAGATCCCCTCTAAGACAGCTACGGCGGTTGATGTGTCATGCTGGGGTTGTCCCAGATTGAGCTGAAACTGATCCTCCACGTCAGCGGTGCACCGCTGCTGCAGATACGTCGCATCACCGTCGCCTCATCGGCTGCCAGGTGTGCCCAGTTATCATCCAACGTCTGCCCCCTCTTTCGCGCTGTCGCCTCGCACGCCAAACAGTACACTCTTGCATGTGCGACGAACTTTATCACCGCCAGCCGAGCCACCCTCCTGGCCTGGAACGACTCATTTCTCCACGCCGCGTTACACCTCGCCAGCCACACTTGCTGTAGAACAGTTGCAATCCACGTCCCTTCCGGAAAACCTATCTTCGTGCTTCTTTGCATGAAGAGCAGATCTTCGAGATCTTGCCACGCTAGCCCCGGGTTCATAGCCACCAGCCCTCTCCTCAGCAGGTCCACCACCGGCTGCACTGCAGGGCATCCAAGAAGGCAGTGGTATGGGGTTTCTTCATCACGGCAGTGCGGGCAGACCACCCCCATGAAAAACAACCTCGAGCCCACTTGCAGGTTTCTACAGTGGAGCCTTAGGAGGACTTCACGTGCCCGCCGTGGCGTGGCAAGGGAGTCTCTCTGCGTGATGACCCTGTCCCATTCGATCACTCTTCTCTGCCCTTCCCACCTTCTCTGGTTCTCCTGCCTGCCAGCCGAGCTTGCCAGCACCTTCCTTATCCCCTTTAGTGAAAGCAGCTCCCCCCCCTCGCACGCCTCTGATAGCAGCAGCTTCGTACGTGCGTCACCCATGGCCCCCAGAACCACACAACCTTCCGTCACACATCGGCACTCCGCTTCGTAGGCCGAGATCCACCGTGAGGACCCCTGCGTAGGGTGCGAATCTTCTGCCGTCATCTATGGTACACAGCCTCCCTGTCACTTTGTCCCCCTTCGCCTCCTCGACCCGTCAGTATGTTAAGCTTCCAGTCGCGTCATTGCACGTCCGTAATAGCTTCACCGTGGCCACAACTTCCTCGTGTTAGAATTCTAGAATAGAACGAGAATGCATGAACTAGCAGGAAGTTGGGTACAAGTAGGAAACCCTAAGTTTGTGTACCCTCTAAGGCTAAACCCACTATAGCCTACACAATATGAACATACAATGTTTGACACACCCCCATAGGCGAAGTGGGAGACAACCAGAGGGTCACAAGACCAGTCAAAGCAAAGCAAGGCAAAACAAGCTCAGGGTGGATCTCAAGGATACCACACAAATTCCGAGCACAAGCAAGTGGTCATAAGACCAGTTCACATGCAGTTTCATAATATAACAAGAGGTACAGTGATCACAACCTAGCAAGAGTAAACATGCAGGTATATATATATAGATCACAGTACAAACAGAGTCAAGAAGTAAGCAAGTGAGGTCCAGCAGGCACAAGGCCTAGAAGAGTGCAGAAGCGCTGATGGTCACAAGGCTGAAGCGCCTTGGTGAACACATCAGCAGTGTTGGCCTCAGTGGCCACGTAACGCAGACGAAGCTGACCACGCTGCTGCAGCTCTCGAGCAAGGAAGTAGCGCAGAGCAATGTGCTTCGTTCTGTGCTCCAGTCTGTGCTCCTCACACAAGGCAATGGCTGCCTTGTTGTCGACGTACAGCACTGGAGGAGAACGAGGCCGCTCTCCAAGGTCGGTCAGCAAGTAGGTGAGCCAGCGTAGCTCCTGGGCCGCCATGGCTGTGGCGTAGATCTCAGCCTCACAACTGTAGAACGCCAAGAAACTGAACCAGAGCCAAGGCTGAAGGTGTAACCCTGAGACGACCGCTGAGTGGCCTGGTCGTCTGCCCAAGAAGCGTCTGAGTGCCTTGTGAGAACAACTCGGTCTCGCCCTCCAAGCACTAGCCCCATGCTCGACGTACTGCACAAGTAGCGCAACACCCTCTTAGCGGCATCCATGTGCTCCTTCCGGTGACGGCCAGGAGCGACATAGCATGCAAGGATGCTAAGAGGGTATGCAAGGTCAGGTCGAGTGCAGGTCATCAGGTACATGAGGCAGCCCACAAGCTCTGGATACGGGCCACTCGACTCTACGGACTCATCCGAAGGCAGAGCTGAGAGCGAGTGACCAGTAGGCAGAGGAGTGGACTGAGGCGAGGAGTACGTGAAGCCGAAGCGCTGAAGGACCTGCTGCACCATGTGTGACTGAGTCAAGGTAATGGTGCGCCGTGCTCTGTCCCGGGTGATCCGCAAGCCAAGATAGCTTGTCAGTTCACCCAGGTCTGTGCACGTGTGTCTCTTCTGCAGCTCCGACTTCACGTGGGCGAGAGCCTCAGTGCCAGCAGTGGCAAAGACCAAGTCGTCGACGTACACGAGGATGTAGAACGGCGGCAGCGAAGTGTTGGTGCGCAGAAACAGCGACGGGTCAGCAGTAGAAGGCGCGAACCCAAGTGCCGCAAGTGTCGTCCTCAGTGTGTCGTGCCACTCACGTGGTGCCTGGCGGAGACCGTAGACCGGCCGCCGGAGGCTCCACTGGGTACCAGGAGGAAACGACCCAGTGAAGCCAGGAGGGCGGCGCAGCCAGATCTCCTCGTGCAGGCTACCCTGCAAGAAAGCAGTGCTGAAGTCAAGAGAGTGAAGCTCGTAGTCGCGCTGAGCGGCTATGTGTAGCAGCACCCGAAGAGTGGTCATCTTCGGGGTGGGGGAGAAGGCCTGGAAGAAGTCGACTCCCTCACGCTGACTGAAGCCTCGAGCAACGTAACGCGCCTTGAAGACAGGCGGAGAACCCGGCGGCCGCTTCACCCTGAAAATCCACATGCCACTGACGATGTTCGCCCCTGGTGGGGGAACTGCGTCGACGTAGGTGCCTGTGGACTTCCAGGAAGCCATCTCTGCGTCCATGGCTGTCTGCCACTGAGAGGAGTAGGGACCCGCTATCGCCTCTGCGTAAGAGCGCGGGGTCGGGATGTCTGGTGCATCCGGGTCTCCCTCAGGGGCAACTAGCATGGACACGAGATGAGGCAAAGCAGCAGCAAAGCACTGGAACTCCTCCTGCCTGTCCTCAAGGACGTCCGTGCCAAGAGCACACTCACCCCCGACGGACGGAGGATAGACAGACTCAGACTCAGCAACAAGGCTAGCGGCGTAGTCTAGACGACAAGCGGCAGCAAAGTCAACTAACTCAGCGACGAGAGCAGACGCAGCAGAGGACTCAAAGGTAGGGTCAGTGACAACAGTAGCGAGGAGACGCGTGACAGTAGGACGGGCAGCACGAAGGGAGTCAGACTCCGGGTCAGCAAGAGTAGGAAGAGAGGACGCAGGAGGAGACGGCAGAGGAACACGCTGAGGAGCAGTGGAGGGACGCAGAGTCATGTAGTGAGTGCCAGGGACAGGAGGAGGACGCTCACGCGGGACACGACGACCAGTGCGAGCAGCACGAACAGGCGACGTAGAGCGAGACGCAGGCGACACAGGACGAGACTCAGGCTCACGACGCTCCGTAAGACCTCCTGTGGGACCAGTGTAAGGAGAAGGACCAGGGAGCGGCGAGGCAGGCGGTAACTGTGACGGTGACTGGACAGGCGGAGGACACTCTAAGGAGGGAGCAGGACAAGGAGGAGGAGGCTGACCAAGAACCTGCTGAAGGAGCGGAACGAAGTACGGCCGGGGCCGCGCAGCGACTCCAGAACCAGTAGAGACACCACCAGCACCCGCAGCAGCTCCAGCAGCGCCAGCTCCAGGGTCCTCAGCACCAGAAGTAGCCCCAACTCCAGGGTCCGCAGCACCAGCAGCAGCGCCAACGCCCGGGTCCGCAGCACCAGCAGCAGCTCCAACTCCAGGGTCCGCAGCACCAGCAGCGGCTCCAACTCCAGGGTCCGCAGCACCAGCAGGAGCTCCAGCACCAGGGTCCTCAGGACTAGCAGCAGCTCCAACTCCAGGGTCCGCAGCACCAGCAGCAGCTCCAACTCCAGGGTCCGCAGCACCAGCAGCACCAGTAGAGCCTCCAGCACCAGCAGCAGCACCTCCAGCAGCTCCAGCACCAGGGTCCGCGACACGAGGCGCGCCACTCCGGAGAGTGCAGCGCCGCTCGTACCACTCACGGATCCGCTCAAGAGAGGGCAGCTCCCGCTGAGGAGGGGAGGCACCAGCACCAGTCCCAGTAGTACTCCTGGCTCCAGAGGCACCTCTCCGGAGGCTGCAGTACTGTGAGTACCACTCACGCAGCTGCTCCGAGGAGAGAGCTCCTCCAGGTGTAGGACTCCGCGGCTCAGCACCCCCAGGCTCAGCACCCCCAGGCTCAGTACCCTCAGGCTCAGCACTCCCAGGCTCAGCACCCCCAGACTCCGCACCCCCAGGCTCCGCACCCGCAGGCTCAGCACCCCCAGGCTCAGCACCCCCAGGCTCCGCACCCCCAGGCTCCGCACCCGCAGGCTCAGCACCCCCAGGCTCAGCACCCCCAGGCTCCGCACCCCCAGGCTCCGCACCCTCAGGCTCCGCACCCCCAGGCTCCGCACCCGCAGCAGGACGAGAGTCAACAGCTACCTCAACAGGCTCAACCGGGTCTACCTGGGACACACCTGAGGGAGCGGCACCCTGAGGGGGGAGGGGGTCTACCACAGCAGCACCTGGCGCGAGGAAGAGAGGCGGGGGGGGGAGCGGGGCAGTGCGGTAGGGGAAGAGGCGGTAGTAGGGGACGGACTCGTCAAAAGTGACGTCCTGAGAGG